TGGAGCTGTGGCTCCAGTGGTAGAGCTCTAACCTGGAGCACAAAAGCCCAGATACAGTGTCCAGACTCTGAGTTCAAGCCCCAGGTCTGTCATGAGTAGGAAGAGTAGAGAGGAATCGTCTACGCAGCACACTAGGCTTGTTAACTGTGGTTGATGCCAATTAATTACATTGTGTTCCAAGTTGCTGATAGGGTTTTCAACATCCCCAGCACAAAGAATTGCTGAGCTTGAGGTGATGGGCGGGCGTGCCAGTTACCTTGATCTGATCACCCGCCACGGAGCAGCAAGCTGAAATCCCACGCTGTAGCCCATAAACACACGCAATCAGCACGTCACTGACAACCTCATGGAGTCTGCTGACAGCCCTCACACACGGGCGCCTTCCCGCACAAGGTGACCAGAGTGTACACCGCGACGTGGTCTCTACCAAGTAACTGGTGGCCTCCACTATCCTCCACTCTGGCTGCCCTGGTTGCAACCGAAAAAGTCTAGGACTGAATGAATGTTTGCTGAGCTGCTCCCGGGATGAGATTTCTTACATCATTATGTCAGTCTGTCTTCCATTGTGATAGCAAAATACCCGAAGCCGGGTAATTTATAAAGGAACGAAGTTTGGTGAACTCACAGTGCTGAAGATGGTGCGGGCGCTTCCCTGGCTCCTGGGAGGCGGCTGGCAGGTGGCTGGTGGTGGCGGGAGGCTGGGTGGAAGGGACCCCACTCGGGACAGGAAGCCTCAGGCCTGAGGGCAGACAAGCTTGCTTTTTTTAGAAGTCACTAGCCAGGCACCAGCAGTTCACATCTGTAATCCTAGCAACTCAACAGGCTGAGATCTGAGGGGCATGGTTCGAAGCCAGCCCGGGGAAACAAGGCTGCGACTCAAGTGGTAGAGGGCTAGCCTTGAGGAAAAAAGTTCAAGAATAGCGCCCAGGCCCAGCATAAATAAAAACAAAAACTGATGTCCACAACTGATCACCAACTGTGAACCCCCGCTGCGTGGAGGCCCAAGACGGGGAAGACTTTGGTTCAAGGACAAACTGGGCAAAAAGTTAGCAAGACTCCATCTCCATCAATAAGCCGGGCTTCGCGGTGTGTACCTGGGGTCTCGAACGGAAGGTGAGAGCCCAAGATTAAGGCCCAAGATGGGCTGGAGGCAGAGACACAGAACCCTCTCGGAAAAAATAACCAAGGCCAACAGGACGGGGGGCATAGCTCAAGAGGCAGAGCGCCTGCCCAGCACGTGTAAGGCCCCAGGAGAGCTGGCACTGCACCAGTACGGTTGTGGGGGTCAGGGAGGGTGGAGCGCGCGGAGCCGGCATGTGTGCGGGGACTCCGTGCGGGGACTCGGTCGCCTGGCCGCAGGGTGACCACCGGCCACCTCCCACTTCTCACCACGCACACACGGATACGGCGAAGTTAGTTGATTTTTTTGTAAAAGCCACAAAAACTTTCCAAGGCCATTTACCCTCTGAGGCCGCAGCTGGCTGCTCTGCTCTTGAACTCTGCTCTTCCGAGCGCCTTTCGTAATTGCTTGCTGATAGCTTGAATTCCATAAACCGCCCGCACAAAAGTCCCTGCGGCTCCTCAGTAAAACCCAGCTCCTTGGCCCAGCTCCAGGCAAAGGTGCCGAGGCTGCGGGAGGTCCGTACCGGCAGGCGCCAGGCCCGGTCCACTCTCCCTACCAAGTCCTGCCCATGGTTCAAGGCCCACCTGTGGCCCTCAGCCTGGGGCTCAGCCACTTCCCTGGAGATGAAGGGGTCACAGACACCTCCGCAAATTGTAATCGTTGCTATCGAGATGCTCCTGTGAGCAGATCCTGTAACTGTCAGTCCTGCTTCATTAAGAAAGTCAAACCCAGCCAGGTGCTGGGGGCACAAGGCTGCCTGTAATCCCAGCTACTCAGGAGGCTGAGATATGAGGGTCGCGGTTCACGTGCCAGCCTTGGCAGGAAAACCCATGGATTCTTATCTCCAACTAAACACAAGGAAACAGAAAGTGGCGCTGTGGCTCAAGGTGGTAGAATGCTAGGATTGAGCAAAAAAGAGCTCGGGGACAGTGCCAGGCCCTGAGTTCAAGCCCCATGACCGACCAAAAACAAAAAGCAAACACAACAGTCAAACTCAGACAGGTCAAGGGCCCAGGACAAGGGCAGTCCTCTTCTGTCCATCCACTTCTGAGCTGTCCTGTCCCACACCTGTCCTGCCCACTCTCCGCCCCACGAGACCCATCTCTCCCTGGTGAGCCCGACTTTCACCTGCCGTAAAAAAACACGAATCAGATAACGCTGCTAAATGCAAGGTCAGTACTTTTTGTCTTATTCACCTGCTTGTGGGCCGGCCCTGGGCTTTGGAGTCTCCAGCAATCTGCCACTGCAGACAGGGCCGGCGTCACGCCACCTCACCTACCAGCTCCTCCCGGCGCTGTGCCATGTGTCATGGGGGACAACTCAGGCCCAGAGACTCTTCTCGCCAATTTGCCAGCAAAAAGCCAGAAGTGGAGCTGGGGCTTAAATGGGAGAGCAACGGCCTTTTGCAGAAAAAGCTAAGTGAGGGCTCGAGGCTCTGCGCTGGAGCCCCAGCACTGAAGGGGGGGGGGAGGAAGGAAAAGAGAAAGGGAGGGAGAAGAGGAAGGAAATGAAGGGAAGGAGGAAAGGAGGAAAGGAGGGAGGGAGGAAAAATGGAAGGAAGGAAGGAAAGAAAAAAGGAAGGAAGGGAGGGAGGGAGGAGGGAGGTAGAAGACTGGGCACAGCCCCTTCCTGGGGAGGGGTCCAAGGACGGGGAGGGGGGGCTGGGGGCTGGGATCCAGGAAGTGGGGACCAGGGTCTCCGGGTCAAGGAAGGGCAGGGGTCTCCAGGTGGGGAGGGAGGGCTGAAGGGAAGGGTGTGGGGTCTGGGAGGGGAGGCGAGGTTCGGGCCAGGAGGGGGGTCCCCGAGGCCGGGGTCCAGACGGGGAGGAAGAGTTCAGGCAGGGAGAGAGGGGGTCTCGCGGAGGGGTCCGGAGGCGGGATGGGGGTCTGG